TGCATCATTTGCAGTATTAGACAATTCCAACTAAATCAGCCTCATTCATTGCTAGCTGCCAGCCAATCCAGCACTTCCATATGTCAGGTATTCACAACTGTGAGGCATCTGACACACTGTTTCACTGCTATGTGATACAGTGTGTCAGATGCCTTACAGTTCTTTACCTGGAACCAGACATGCAAATTTGTTCAGTTTTATGCTTTTGGAGCCCAACAAATTTCTTCTTCAGTAATCAAAGTCACTCATCCTTTCCTGGTGGAACAATCCGATTCAGTCAAGACTAAGGAGGAAAACGTTTGCTTGTTCGACAAGGTAAAAAAATTGCATTTTTTTTGAAGGAAAATGGGAATATAGCTGTAGACAAAGTAATACTACCGTGTTTATCTTTAGGTTCATCTCTGCACCAGCTACCACTTCCAGAAACCTTGATTACTGCTGGTCTTGTTAAAATGCAATTAAGGACTTACTTATCAAATTCAAAAATGAGACAGCTGGCCACTATACTGAATTAAGTGCAGGCAGAGTTGTTTAGTCTTACTTTTGTCAAATGCTTGCTTACCTAGGAAAAAATCTTGATACTGTTTTCACCATTTTTTTAACAACATCCTCAGAAAAAACCGATACAGAAGTTGCCACAAGACAAGTTGTTCGTTGTAATGATGTAAAGGACCTTTGTTCGAGGATTGTTTCAGAGAGAAAAGTTTCTGCTAATCAAATTGTGAAACTTGGCCTGGATGGACAAGGAGATTTTTTGAAAATAAGTGTGTGCATCATTGATCACAACAAAGAAACAGATAGCCTCGAGCAGAAAATATTACGACTTGCATCAAGGACTGTTGCTAGAGACACTAGAGTTAAGCTTTTATTCTTGGTTGCAATTGTTGAAGATGTTGCAGAAACTTACTTCAATGCCAAAAATCTGTTTGATCATATTTAAGCAAACAAGCTTCAATTTATTATCAGCATTGATCTTAAACTTGCCAATATCATATGTGGCATTTAAGCACACAGCAGCAAGCATCCTTGCTGCTTTTGGCCTTCAGCTTCACTGAATCAAACTAACTCAGTGACATTGGAGTCTTGAGAAGAAATGGATCTATTAAAAGAAACTATCAAGCATTTGACGGGAGAAAACTCAAAGACAGCAAAGGATTTCAAAAACTTAGTACATTACCCACTTCTTGATTTGCCAGATGATCAACTAAATTTTAGAACTAATTCCTCCAACGGAATTGTACTTGCCTCTTGGGTTGTAAAACATTTATTTAAGAGCCTTTGTCAAGTTTGACCACAAGCAAGTGAGTGGCCGGCCTCTCTTCACTTGCCATTCAGCCCTATCATGGTGGTCATTTTGCCGAAAATAAATGCCACAAGTTGCTAAAAAATATAGACAAATTCCAAAGTTTTGATGAAGCTCATTGTGCATTCCAGGCTTTCAGTTTTATAGAATTATTTTAAAAGTTCAACAAGGTAGGATCGATAGGAAGATAGGAAGATAGACAAGATAGGAAGACAAGATAGGAAGAAACGATAATAGGGGGAACTTTGCATTAATTTTAAGTTCATTTTGTATGTTAATACTAGGCATATTTTCTTTTACTGAGTTATATTTTTTAATTTAGCATTTCTAAGAGAAGTTAAGTTAAAAACCATAGCTTTAAACAACAGCTTCGTAATTGTACCTGCTTAAAAAAATTGTGCAAAATTTCTCAGTCAAATTAAAAAATTTCACTGAAATTTTTACTGATAAAATTGATATTGGTGATGATTACACAAATGAAAGCATAAATAAAGAAAACGAATTTAACATTCAACATAAATGTGATACAAATCAAAGCAGACAAGAACTTTCTGATTGTCTCAGTATAATTGGTGTATCAATAGTTAAGCACGTAAAGCCATATGTAAATTGTAGTTTAGCACGTAAAGCCATATGTAAATCGTATGAGTAATGGGAAAAGAAAACTTAAAACTATTTTAACAGTTTTCCAAGAAAAATTATCAAATCTTTTGGAAATTCTATTGACAGAAGTTGAAGTTAACGAATTCTTGATTTAAAAAAAAATGTTGCTCAGTTCCAAAAAAATGTTAATTTTGATAAATGAATAACTTAAAAATGCTGTTCAACTAGGAACAAGATTCAAGTATTGACCTAGTGCCCTCAAGAATGGTCAATTGAAGCAGCCAGTAAGTATTTTGGTGTTTCAAAATATCTCATGATAAAGTCTTTAAAAAAGTAGGAAGGAGTTCTTGCAGTTTGAAAAACTAAACAAGTTAAAATGCTGCTTAATCAAATAAATATTTTATTGAAAATTTTTATAAAGATGGTGAAACCTCTCGCCAGATGCTTGGTCAAAAGGATTTTGTAAGTATTAGTTGGAAAGTCCATATCCAAAAGGGACTTTTTTTATCAAGCTTAAAAGAGTTATTTGCCTCATTTAAAATTCTTTATCCAAATGAAAAACTAGATTTTTACTAGGTTTGTGTTTTAAGACCTAAAATGGTGTGTTTTGCTAAACTCATCAGGAACCTAATCTGTGTGTGTTTGTAGCACCAAAACATGAAGTTAATTCTCTTACTCTATAAATTTGATTACGTACCATTAAAAATATAAAATTACATAGCTATAAAATTACGTACCAACGTTGTCCTTGTATCTTTAAAGACATTTTCTTGCTGCCTTGTGTCCTGTATTACTTAGAATAAGCAGTTTTCATATGTCTATGACACATATATGACATTATTTACCTTCTTATATTTACCTCTTTTTTTACTTTTACTTCTTATATTTACCTTTTTATATTTACCTATTTTTCTTCTCTTATTTTTTGACTGGCTCTGAGTAAAAATACCTGTTTTAATATCTAAATATTTAAATTATGTTTATTAAACATGTATATTGTAGTTGTAAACAAAAGTGAGAATACCTCTCACTTTATGGTTAAACATAAATATCTATCAATCTTTTGTCTCAACCTCAATTCAATCAAAAATAAAAATTATTTTTTTTAGATTAGTGCGCCAAAAAACAAGTTTTTCATTTTTCAGATATTTATATAAACTTTAAGAATATGAAGTTGGGAAATAAATAGATCATTACCTTTTCTGTAACTCTTCATAATAACATGTAAAACATGCTAAACATGTTTATTCTAAAATTATGTTAAAAATACCGACTTATTACACTTATTATTTATTAATAAATATAAAAAATTATTATTTCTGAGTATAGTTTTATGGTTTAGCATCTAAAAATAATGTGGAAAATTTCAAATCATAACATAATATAGCTAAAGTAAAAACGTATGAATCAACGTTTATTTATTTCTAAGTACGTTGTTAGGGCAACGTGTTAAAAAAAAACTCTTTTTAGCGTAGTTAATCTTTATTCCAAAAATGACGTAATTTGAATTGAATCAGTGAAAATAATTTCATTTTGAAATGTTTAAATTTTAAACAGTTATAGTTTATTGACTTTTTACTTTGGATGCTAGTTATCTTAGCAGGAGTTTACTTCTCTTCGTTAAGGACCTGTTAATATGGTGATATTTTATAAAAAAAAAGTTGTTCTTGCTACAAAAATTAAATAAAGTCCTTGGACAACTACTATTCTTAATCACAATCAAATTTTTACGAATTAGGGAATAAAAAAACTGTGAACTTTACGTGAAAAGCTATACTTTATTAAACTAATAAGTATCTAAATTAATAAACAATAGTCATTGCAATAATAAAAAAAGTTAACTATCTTCCTCTACGCTGCCGGTTGTTTTCCAGGAATAGATACTTTTATAAACTCAGTTGCGTTTGTGGGGATGTAACATTCCAGCTTTTTAATATCATTGATATTTTTTTAATTTATTGCAATTGGTTCCTGATAAACTTTTTTGGTGGGCAGTTGTTGCTCAACTCGGTTTTTTACACGTTTAAAAGTTCTGGAACATAGTCCATCTGTAAAGTCATATGTTGTCACATACCCAGGCATTTCACTGTCATAAACGACGATTATAAAATGTTTGTTTAAATCGTTTTATGACATTTCACTGTCATAAAACGATTTAAACAAACATTTTATAATCCGATACAGAAAATGCACGATCGCGTATGTTGTCTTTGATGGGTTTTGGGGCTTTTTTATAAACAGTAGGCCACCAATCTTTGAAACTTAAAATGTCCTCGTGCGTGATCTTCGTAATCGTAAATGGTTTAGAATTTTTTGCTACTTCTAGGGAAGCAATGAGTGTCCCCGCGTAGAAAAATAATGATAAATTTTCTTAAAACACTTTCCAGCTTGTAGAGTTACAAGAAATCGAACAAGGATATGGTTTTTATTTTGCTTAGAGCAGCCATTAGAGATTATGTCCTTCGTGATAAACATAAAATGGGCGGTATTATTTCCCAGATTGTGAATTTCAAAGGTATTTACGCGAAGCTGACGATAGTAAAATACCTCTTGAACATGTATGTGCGGAAGAGGGAGGAAATGCATGAAGTCAAAACATAGAGCGGCTACGTTTGGATTTGTATTATAAAAATTTGTTACGTCTCTAATCTTATTGTAAAATTTGTTAGCACATCTTTTATGGACCATGAGCTGCGCTGCCGCCACTCTTTTAGCATCGTCGTTTAAGTTTTTGTCTCGTATTCTAAATCCCAAGTGTTCACATTCTGAGCACACATCAACTTGAGGACGTCCAAATCTGAGATTGTACTAGTATTATTTTTGTAGTACATAGAGAGATCAACATAAGTTAAATGAAACTATGAAAAAAAGTAAAAATAACAAATAATGGACTAGTACTGTTCTTCTTCTCACCAATTCAGTTTTTGTTGTTGTTTTGAGCTAGAATTACCCAAATGAGACAACGAGATCGTGGTTTTTAAAACGTGTTTTATAATACGTCCGCGTCTCAATTTCAATATTTAAAAAATATTTCCAAGGAAATCCCAAGTTAAAAATAAATCCAATTGTTTCCTAATAAGCTGTTAATTTTAAAAATGACGTATTCAAAAAAAAATCTCTCAAATGTAAATGTTAAAATTGTATACTAAGTGATTTAGTATACTAAATGATTACAAAGTCATGAATATTCTCAAACCAGATGATATTAACTTTATAAAATCATGTTCTAACAATGACCAATTGATTTCTTTTCTTGATGAAAAAGGCTCAGGTATTTTAAATTGGACTGATAATTTCGGAAGAACCATTCTACATCATATTATTGGCAGCAGTGGAAATTTAGCATGTGTTCAGCTATTGTTAACAAAAAACGGTAAACAGATAAAGCAACAGTTATAAGTTTTTAAAAGTGTTAGTATATATAAGAGTTGAAACATAAAAAATCCAATAGTCATATTAACAGTTTTTATTAACTGTCTAACAAAGGTTTGCTAATTAGCAAAATTCTAAACATCTGTAATTGGATAAAAACTTTATAAATTATTTAATCATAGCATTTGTACCATAACCTCATTTCTACCTTATGGGAATTAAAGATAAGCATTTGTGCTATGCCCTCAAATTCAATATTTCTACTATGCCCTCATTTCTACTTTAGAGGAATTTATATAGAAAAATATTTATATAGAAAAATTTATATAGAAAAATATTTTAATTTTTATTTAAATTAGGTAAAATTTATCATGTTTCCTTAATCAAATTTATTATTTTGTTTAAATGTTTTATGTGTTTTGATGATATTGCAAGAAAAGAAAATTTTTAAGCATTAATAATTAGACAATTTCTGAAAATAACATAGATTCAGAAAACTTTTTTTACTGTGTTTATTGTTAAATCTAAGTATTCAGCTACCAAAGCAAGGTTAAATAAACTATTAAGTATATTAGATTATAAAGTAGTAAGTATTTTTTAAAAACTACTTTAAAATGGTTTTTAGGTTATAGTACTAACTTTTCAACTAATTTTTCACTATATTGCACTAAAATGTCATTTATGCATGGCACACAAAAATAAAAAAACTGTTAACTAAAACCTTAAATTATGTTAATTTCACACCTCATTTTTTTAAAGCAAATGGTAATATAGAGTGCTTCAATATAATTGTCTCTAGAATAATATATTATATATTGTTATTTATAACAATAAATATTTTTTTTAGCTGACCCAAATGCAGTTTCAGGAATTGATGACAAGTGCTCAGTAAGAATTATATTATTTCAAAATTTTTTTCATATTGTTGTTTCAATTAAGGCTTGTTTATATAATGATGCCATCTGCATTGTCTAAATAAAGCATAACATACAAATATTAGGTGTAAAAAAATCTGAATTTTATTTTTATATATTTAGACACCTCTTCACTATGCTGCAAAAACTAATAATCTTGCATGTGTGATTGCTTTGGTGGATCATGGTGCTAAAATAGATATAAAAAATAGTAGGGGACAGCGTGCTATTGATCTTGCCTCAGAATTTTGCTCAACAGATTGTATTAATTATCTTCATTCTATTTATGGTATGTGTATACTGTATAGGGATTAATCGAACTAATAACTTAGTTATTAATAATTTAAAAAAGTTAATTTTATATTAATGTAATTCTATTAACACCCCAGTTGTTTAATACAACTGTCATGTTCATAGACAGTTTTATCATTATATATTTATTTAAAAACTAGTTACTTTTTTGTTAGCTTATTAACCAGGTTAACGCTAACAAGGTATTTGGCTAGTATTATTAAAAAATATATAAAATACAGTTATAAGTATTTTTTTTAAAAAAAATATCTTATATCACCTGCTTAAAAATTTAAAGCAATATAGAAAACTAACCAGTTTAGTTATTAATTTGTTTACATTTAATTTCCATATTAACTTTTGAAAATTAAAAATAAATTTTTTCATTAACCCTGTAAATGATAAAATAGGGTACTATATTTTTCAATAAGTTTTTTCCTGTAAACGGTTACAAAAAAATACAAGAGCACTGTGTCAAAACTATTAAAATCAAGATTTGTTCTGCTCTTTTCTATGTTAAAACATGATATCTGGTAACCCTACCGGAGTTCTCTGTTTAATCTAACCTGTCAAAAAAGTTTTATTTTTATTTATAATCTAGATTTTTATAATTATTGTTTTTATTGTTACTGATAATTTAAAATCCATGTGTTAAAAATCTGATAAATAAACAGGAATTGGCTAGAGAAAATGAGTGCAAGAGCAGAGAAAAGCTCTTGTAAATCAAACATGGCTAGCCATGCAAGCTGCTCCTCTAAACAGCTTTTTAAGAGAGCTTTTGGTTTTTGTGCGAGCATTCTGTTTATTCATTAAATGAATTGGTTATTCAATAAAAAATTGATTTTATACTTGTTATAAATGTATGCTTGTAAGTATAAAATCATTAATGTTAAGATAAGTATAAAATCATTAATGTTACAAGCATATGCTTGTAACATTAATGTTATAAGAATATATATGCAACGAGTGTCATTTGTTTTCCTTTGAAAAAGTTCCTTATACAAGCATCAATAATAAAATTATGCCACAATTCAGTGTGTAATAATTTTATATTATATATACGAGTTTGTGAAATAAAAAAATAAGCAGTTGAAAAATTCAAAAAGAATGTTTTATTTTTTCAAATGTATTTTTCAAAACGTTTTAATATTATAAACTAAATTTTAAATAATTAATAAATAGCTTTAATAAATAGTTTTAATAAATATTATTTAGTAAATCTTTATCTTAATAAAGACACAAGGCTATGTCTTCCTATACAGGATGACAGAGCATTGACTATAAAATTATTGGTGGAATATCGTCGGGGATAGTGCAAATCTATCCCCGACGATATCCCCAAATAACTAGCATTGGATAATACCGCATACTTGCACTACAAATCTTTTTTTATTTCAACAGATTTTGGGCTCATTTTAGTATAAAGTATTATTTGTGTTTTTTCTAATGTCAACAATAGATGTTGGATTTTAAAATTATTAATATCCAATTATAATAGCTGATTCTGGTTATGCAGATTTGCACTATCCTCTACAATATTATCAATTTATTTTTTATAGTGATATTTTTACAAGAAACTGACTTTTTATTTAAAAAAATAATCAGTTAGGCCAATCTAATTAAAAAATTTACGTTTCAATTGGCACTTATTTTTAATTTTTTAAAATAACTGTGCTTTAAAAAAAGTTTTGCAGTTTATTATGCAGTTATTGGTTTATTTTTTAAATGACTTTTTTATCTTATCTACAACTATAATGCTTATCGTTTATAAACAACTAAGCGAGTTTGACCATATTATCATTAATGATATAGCAGTCTGTTTGAAATTTAATGCCAATACTCAAAAAAGCGCTGGCAGGATGGGCTTTTTTAAGTTAACCTGCGCAATTTAAAAAATTCATTTTTTTCTGCTATTTAAATTAAAATGAAAATAGTGAAAAGAATACTTTGAATAAATACTAGATAAAATAATCAAAATAAAAACTAGTAAAAAAAATCATAAAAGTTGAACAAATAAACAAAAAAAATTTTGGTCCAATTTATAACTAAACGCTTTTATTTTTTTGGCAAGCGCTTAGTATTTTTCTATCATATTTCACACCATGAATTTCAGAAAAAAAATCTCTTTGCACTTACTTATCATATGTAGTGCAATGCTTTTTTAACTTTTTAACTTTTTTTATTTTTTCTTTTTTTTTAATAATTCTACTAAAGTATTGTATTATACTTATATAATATTTATATTCACATTTATAATACTAAAATTCTGCTTAACCAAAAATTAAACAATTGCTGCAGTATAAAATAAGCCATTTGTATAGTTAAAATATAATCTCAAGCACTACAAAAAAATTAGTAACTGTTACAAAAAATAAATAACCAATTGCACTTTGTAAGCAAAAAAAGTAAATCTGAAACTAAATTTTTTTTTCTAATCTATGTGGTTTGCACAAGAATTATTTAATTTTTCTAATCAATATCTAAAAAATAAGAAAAAAAGAAAGTGGTTTATATTTACTTTTGCTAGAGCCATAAATTACTCCTGTAAATCTCTTTGGGGAGGTGTAGGCGAGAGCAAGTGCTAAAGCTTTTGCTTCCTGTCCGAACTTATTTACCATCACCCCTTATTACTTTTTACTTGATTAGATTGAAGGAGCAAGCAAAGAAAACAGATTCTCATCCATTTACTACTTACATTCCATTTAGAAATACAATAACTAATAATATCTTTTACAAAATGATTTAAGCTCAGAACTTCTTGCTAATTAGGCATGTGCTCTACCACTACTTCATTTTATGTATCAATGGTTTCTTAAAAGCTATTACTTTTACTACGTATAGTTTAAAAAAGTAATAGGTTATTTGTTTCTATAATAAATAAAAATTATTTATAAGGTTAACATCTTGAATTTCTTGAAAAACTCTTAAATATGAAAATAAAAAAAATAAAAGATTAACTTACATCTCATCACATGCTTATTAAGTAAGATTGCTGCTTGTAATTTATATTTGATTTAAAATACTTTAATTATTTAATTATTTAACTAGTTACAGAAAACAAATTGTATTAAATTACTAACTCAAATGTAAAATTAAATTAAAAATAAATTTTTTTATAAAAACTCAAATGTAAACAACCGATCTAAGTGAATAATTTCAATGAAATTAATTTGTATTTATAAATATTGTTTTTAGATTTAATATGTATGTAATTTATATTCATATGTAGGTTATTTACATTATATTATATTTGTGAGTAATTTTAATATCATATTATTTAATATTTAATTATCAATTTAATGATTTTAATTTAAAACCAAAATTAAAAAAAAAACAACCTTAAAATCCTTTAACAATAAAACTAAATAAATATTTTGCTCTTTTTATCGTTCTTTTGCCACCGATAGAAAGAGTAATAATAGAAATGGTAGAAAGACCAAAAATCTACATGATTTCTACCAAAATTAAAAAGAAGGTTTTAGAAAGAGCACTCACCAGAAGACTTCTACCACAATTAAATTACGGGGTTTATCTGAATTTTTCTAATCCTAAGTAAAGGTTATCTCGTATGGCCAAAAAACTGCTCCCATTTATCTATTTATCTATTTTCACTTAGGAAAAAAATAGTTGCAATATTATAAAAAAACATATTGGATTTTTTTTTCTTTTATAAGGAGCAATGATAGTTTGTAAATGGTTGCAATGATAGTTTGTAAATAGTTGCAAATCATGTAAAGGAAATTATAGAGCTCTTGAAGTTCTTGGATTTTTTTATGTCTGGTGCCAGTGAATAATGTGTTTTTCAGTGTGATATATACAACCTGTAGAGGTTGGACAAAATTGTTACCATATTTTATTGACATAATAAATTTGTTGAGGAAAGAAATTTAAAATAATTTTTAAATTTGCTTTAGTCAACAAGATTTAAAAAAAGTTTTATTAATGGTTTTGGCTTTTAGACTACACGCAATTGTTGGATAAAAGTGACCTAATTTGCTCTAAAAAAAAAACACTTTTTTTTACTTTCCGTGCTCTCAAAGTTAACAATTTTGATATATATATATATATCAGTTTTCTTCATTTGAAATTTACCGCCAGCGCACAAAAAAGAGCAAAATTGCAAGAGCATGAAAACGCTCGTCAAACAGAGAAGGCTGATATATATATATATATATATATATATATATATATATATATATATATATATATATATATATATATATATATACTGTCGAGTACTTTGTAGAAGTGGGCGGATGTTTATTAGTTAATTTTTAGAAAATTTACCCAGGCACCTTAACTTCATTGAGCCCACCACCCCCCATCGCAGTTTATTAATTTTTCTTTGTTATCAACAAAAAAAAGTTGTTTTTCAAAGCTAAAAAAAAAGTTAAAATAAAAATCGGCTTTAAAAATTAAAAAACATACTAGTAACTGATAAATATTGAAACTTTTAATGTAAATTCGGACAACCCCTCCCCTCCCCTTTTTCCCTTGTTTTTTAGATCTGGACTAAAATTCCCACCTACCTTTTTTTCCCAACCCCCTTCCCTTGTATTTAGGACTCGAGAGTAAAATTATACAATATTGATTCGTCCTCTAGGACTCTTCAGTAATGTAATGATTTTATTGGACTAAATCTTAGCAATAAAACTAGAAAACTGTTTTGTTGTGCACAGACTACAGAACAGGAGGCAAGTAGCAATGATGCATCCCATGAGGAGAGAACTCAACAAAACTACAAGTTAACGAGCTATTTCCAACATGAAACAATATTGTTTCCCAACACAAACATAATTACATACATAAAGTGACTTACGAGTGGATCAGCACCGCGCCAGAGGTTGATATATAATAGGGCCTGATATATATTAGGGCTCGAATTGAGCGTATCCTTTCTAATTCAGCATTTTTAGCCATTTTCAAAAGTAATGTTTTAGTATAAGTTTTTTATTAGGAGTCATAAGTACATCATGCTAGAAATATAATCATTTGCCC